GCAACTTCCAGAGGTTTGCTGCTTGTTTTCTCAACTTGCATGTTTTGAAACAGAGTAAGCAAGTTTTTTCTGCTTCATATTCCTGAAATTCTAAACACCAAATATGTTGCAATGCAGGTTCTAGCTGTCATACAATTAGCGATGGAAGGTGCCTTGTCTTCTACAACGGTATGCGATAATATGGGAAGAGGTAAAAGAGCAGCAGGTGATTTGTTGCCATGGACAGTGTCGCAACAGTTCATGGTAGGATGTAGTTTCGTGTGTGTAAATGAGTACAGAGATGTATATTTCTTTGTGAAGAAATTTTGCAGTAATCATAAAATTTATAAAACTCTCAAACTAGGTTTATAAAAGGAATGTAAGCGAAATTGAAATTGTTCCATGACTTCACTTCTCTTTGCTCTGAAACTGTTAGTTTCAGGATAAAGAATTTCCAACGTTAAGTGGAGCGCGAATTATCAGAATAGCAGTACATCCTGATTTCCAGTGTTAGTTATCTATACTCAAAATACGTGTGTATTAAATGGATTGCCTACTACATGATTTTTTTTTTGTGCTGGTGAGGAATATGATATTGACGATGACCCATTGCAGCACTGGGATATGGTTCACGAGCTCTCGAATTGCTTTTGGAATATTATCATGGAATGGTGCCATGCTTAAAAGAAGAGACAGATTTTAATATGGAAGCACAAGTCAAGCATATCGAGGTAAGCTTTCTCAATAAACGATCATTAGGACTCTCCTGTCATTCAGAACAACTGTATTGGTAAATTTTCAAGGTAATCAGTTTAATGTACTAATCACTATAATTTTGTTTCGGATCGTGATTCCATTTATCATGCCATTTCATTCAGTCTTTTGTAGGTAAGGCAGCCAGTCTCTCTTGCATATTAGTCTTCCATTGATTGCTAGTTGATTCAAGACATTGTCTGTCTTGAATCACAAAACAAAAAAAAACGAGAAAATATTTTGTAGAATCCTGATGCACTAGTATTGCTGGAAGAAGTTGTTGAGCCACGCGCTGATTTACCACCACTTCTACATCGTTTAAATGAACGGCGTGCTGAGAAATTGGATTATATTGGTATTATACATGGTTTTCTACATGTTTTAAAACTTCAGTTTTGGCTCGAAATGTTGCAATGACAATGTTATGTTCAGCTTTTTCACTTATCAATGAATGTTTAAGTATAAATTTGTCTGTTAATTTCAGGTGTTTCATTCGGTTTAAATTTATCCTTGCTCAAATTCTGGAAGCGTGCAGGATTTGTGCCGGTCTATCTGAGACAATCTGTTTGCGACCTTACTGGTGAACATACTTGCATTATGCTGAAGGATATGAATAAAGGTATGTTCTTCTTTATTTTTGTTATTGCTGGGTACACGTCATTTAAAAATGTTTGCAGATGAGGAAGATTTCAATGAGGGTACCGCTTCTTGGCTTTCATTATACTGGACTGAATTTCGACGTCGAATTTTGCATTTGTTTGGATTTGAGTTCAACAAATTTTTGCCGCAGATGGCACTCAGTATTCTGCAGCTGAAAAATAGTGGGATCATAAAGCAATGCAAAAGAGAGGGTAAATTATTGAATTATTTAAGTTGTCGAGTATCGAATAGTATGAGGATATATATCACTGTTATTTTTCAATAAAGTAAATTATAGAATTGATTTTTAGCTTTGAAAGAAAAAAGGACTGAAGGATTTGTACTTAGAATTAACTGCAAAATTGCCTTTCAGTTCTGACTAGAGAGAAACTTGGGTTATTTCTTTCAAATAGTGATTTGTACCGATTATCTCAATATGCACGGAATATGGTCGATCATCATTTAATCACAGATATATTGCCAGTACTAGCTTTATTGTATTTCGAAGAACGATTCGATGAAAAAGTTGGTGAAATATTAATTTTTGTATATCTTAATGTAATTGGTGAATTAAAATGGCTTTAGTTACCTTGACTTTTTATTAATTTTTGATTTCTTGTTGGGGTCTGCCTTTCATGCTAATTTATGAAATATTTACAGTCCCAGTTTTTTAGCATTATCAAATTCTTTTGTCAAGAGTAGGAAAAAATGAAGAGTAGAAATAAAGGATATTGTGAAGGAAATAAGAAGTATTATGACAGGTATATATTTTGCCACTTGTTTTTCGGCGTAATTGGTTTTAATGTTTTTATTCAAGGTCAAACTAAGCACTGTGCAGTCAGCGATTTTGTTAGGCTCTGGACTGCAGCATAAAACGGTGGATGTTTTGGTAACAGAACTTGATCTACCTGCTAATCAGTTGCTAGCTTTATTCAACAAAGCTATTCGAAAACTTTCTGAATATCTCGATCAGCTTTGTATGGATGCGGTACGGCAAGAAATTGATGGCCAGGGAAATAATGAACAATCAGTTGATGCTGCTTCAATGCAGCCTGTTTCTCTCTCTCTTGATGTAAGTTTTATTCGTCCGGCCCAGCATATTGTGTAATCATTGATCAAAATAGAAAGTCATATCATTTTATATTTTGAGGTCATGCTTTGATATTATTACAGAATTCCAAAAAATCCATTATATCGTTGTTCGGAGGTCAAAAAAGATTACCAGCTTTGTCCTGGAAGTTTATTTTTGATAATTTGAAAGATGTATTATTTCTTATTTGTAGGATGAGCTTCACGAAGCAGCTGTAGAAATCAGAAAAAGGCAAGAGAGAGATCGGGCGAGACTGAAAGAAGAAATTGGTCGAGAACTGAAGCAATATGCAATCAAGGGAAATGAAGATGATTGGGCGAATGCTTTACAGAGTACCAATCTGAGGACAACCAAGAAAATTGGCACGATCTTATCTGTCAAATCGTCGAGGTAAACTCGAGAAAATTTTCAATTGTAAATAGAAAATTCTTTGCTGCAAAATCCGGTAAGCCTACGGCTGTTTCAGTTACAGTTTAGAAGAGCAGAGCCTTAATTATTAATGTTTCCATGTGTGAATCATTCCAGGACGGAATCCAAGAATGTTGACCGTGAATTATTGGAAGAAACAAACAAGTTCCCCAATCGGAAAAGAAAAAGAAAAATTAAAGATTTTAAGTTCTGAAGAGGGTACTGAAACCGAGGCATTCAAGAAACTGGTCGGACTATAATGACGTAATGAAACGGGTGTTCTTTTTTGTTTTGTCTTCATTGTTGTTAAGTTTGATAAAGTGACAAAGTCTTTAAGAAAAAACTGTCGTTAGTTGCACCGATATCACAGCAGCATAAAGATGTCCAGTTGATATCTTTATAATTTAAAACATATGAGCGTGAAAAATTGAAGCAAAGAACATGTTATAAATAATATAATTAAACTGCTACGATGGTTCAGTGCGGTTTTCATTTTTTACATCAATTTCTACTGTAAGAAACTATACGACAGGACACAAAATAAATGCAATCCGTAAGAGCGGAATAGATTAAAAACTATCATCGATGAGTAAAGAGAACACATCTCACTGCGAAGTATACCTCTGATTCCATATAGGTATCAAAAATATACTTCGCCTAAGGGTTTCCTATTTGTCAAAAAATGCTTTCGAATCTGTAAATAAGTCTCAAACGTAACAAGATTTAAATAAAAACACAAGGAACACCGCAATGAACAAAAATTATCGCTAAGAAATTATGTCAGGTTACGTCATTCGTGTAGAAGTGGCTATTTCTTCTTGAACACGTTTTTGTAGTGTTTGTGAAACCAAGTTATAAGTTTCCATGAAACGATCCATACACCTGTAAGAAAGGAATATAACAAAAGTGTTGAGTGTTCTAATAACCCAGTAATGGATCCCAGTAAGCTGACATAAACGAAATATTTGAAAATTGAAATTAAGTTTTGAAAATTTACAAGTTTTAAGGATAAATTATGCTTTGTACACACATATTTATAATACATATACTGCTTTTAACTCTTACGATGCGACATAATGGTATCAGGTAGTGAAATAGGGATTGCTTTAAATTATTTTAGACTAATATTATAAATGTATGCACAATGTGCGTTATGATATTTAATGAATAATGATTTCGCTTTGTTTAGCCTCATTTCACTTGTATTTAGTTAAGATAATGAGGAGCGAGAACAGTAGCATGCGAAAAAGATTTAAAAAAAAACAAAACCTACGTCACATCTGAGAAGCTCCTAGATTCTCCATTTTGCAATTTAACTTCTGATGTAATATTATGAAATAAAAGCTATAATAGCTTACCTCTGCAAACACTGTCTCTCGGTATTCGACAAGGCGCTACCTGGACTTGTGATACACTTCGTTAAACATCTCTCCGATAAATCCTCAAATAAGTGCAAAACTTTATGGTAAAATTGGTTTATTATTTCCTTCGTGTCCCATAAAATGAGGAAGAAACAAGAACCAATCTTCCTGTAAAATTTAGTAATTGTCGAAAATTTTAAATCAATAAGTAAAGTAGCTCTGAAAATCCCAAGAACATAAGGTAATAGCGAACTTACAGTAATCATATTCTGGGCGTTTAGAATAGCAGCTTGTTGTTTAACACCAGATATTAAAGATTTCTGCTGTTCTGGTGTTAGCTTTTTCAAAGATTCCACATCTAACACGTGTTCCATTATTGAAACAAGTGAAGAATAAAAAATGAGCCTGAAATTTTTTCAATTTCTATCGAAATCAATTACCATAGGCTTTCTAGATTAGGCATCTAAAAAATAAATTATATGAAACATATGGGGAAGACAATGACGCACAAGAAAAGAACTCCGCCATACTTCACACACCAAAAACAGCCTATCAGACGATATGTTACAGATCCCAGACAGATCAACGACCACTGAAGAATGTATCACTTTGATTTGGTCGGCTTTCTAGATTAGGCATCTAAAGAAAATTATATGAAACATATAATTTTAATGCGATGTGTATTATTAGTACTGGGAGGTGTTGTTGGTAAATTCTTCTTGACTTCAACTACCCGAGTTTTCTAACATTGTTCAAGTGATTATTTCTAGATGCTGTTAGGACGTGCCTTTCGTCCATTCGGTGTAATAGTTATGCCTGTCCGCAATAATTGCCCATGGCATCGAAGTAACTGGCGACCAGTGTATTTTCCTTTCTTGGTTAAACATAAACTTAAACACAGTAAGTTATTCTTTATTTTCATAATATGTGTCACAAAGTTCACACTTTGACTCCGAGTAGTTAAGTACTTATCAATTACTGTTACTCAGAATAACTGAGCCCAACCTTGGCTGCGTTAGATGTCATCACAATTAAAACAAAACCGTTATATGCCGCCTCGTATTTTGCAAGATATTGAGAATATGAAAGAAAGCCTTGCCGAAACAAATGGCACAACCACACTCCCGAAGTTTCTTCCCGATCCATCCTTTAGTGTTTCTAAACCCTGCTGCAAGATTTTCTCATGTAATTGAGCGCAAATTGTCCAATTCTGGTAGCGTTTCAATTTCTTATAGCAGCATCACTACCCTGCTTTGTCTATTTTAGATACGCCTGAAGCGCTGATGAAGTCACGAAATGGTCGTTGCCTCTTAATGCGAAGGATTTTGCGAGAGAAGCCGTTTCTTGGCTGGAACCATCAGTGCACTCCCCGTGAAGAGCGGCCGCATTATCCCTTATAACTGCGAGCACTGTACAGCTTTCTTTATTACGGTGATCTTTGAGGTCCTGCTCTGTAGAATTTTCATTTTGAACTGAAAATCGAATCTAATGGGGAACGCAAGCCCAAAACTCCGAACTGTGTTAGTACTAGTACTCAAAACATTTTATCTTGCTGTGTCATGAATATGATATATCTGGGTCTTTTCAGTCCATTCATACTTTCCAGTTGTTGTTCATACGTTAATCGGTTCCTATCAGTTTTATTACATCTAAAAACCAAGATTACAGACCCAGAACGAGAAAAAATTATTATTCTTAACTGGTCATGCGGTCACATCTCATAATTCTAATTTTTTTTGGAAATGTTATAGAAATGTGCGAAAAGATTTCTTGTCGGACATGTACTTTGTCAAAATAATCAAAACAGTAACTTCCATGAGGCTAAACGCGAAAGGAAACTTTTAGGAAGAATAAGAATAAAGTTAGAATCAACTATAAAGATCCTCAGCATAAAATTGAAAATGGATAAAGAAACGGGAGCTATGCAAATAATATAAAATCATGACACTCCGCAGTTGCAACGAAGACAACAAATCCGAGCGAAGAAACAGGGCGAGACGACAGTGAATTCATGTAGTCAATAAAACTGTTAAAAGTATATATACTTAATTTGATGTGGGCATCCAAAGATTCAGATCACACCTAGAAGGAAGTGCCCTGCGAACTTTCAACTTCTGAAAAGTTTTGCTCAATTTTTAAATCGGTAACATGTAGTAAACATAACAAAGCGATGTGACAATAGGTAACAAGGAAGGTCCATCAATAGGGAGCTGATCGGTCGCCACGTCCTCGTCCACCACCGCCTCGCATTGGTCCAATGCCACTACCGCCACCACCAGGTCGAGGAGCATGACATCGGTTGCATTCTTGTCGGAAACCGAAATTTGTGTTACCGCAGCTATCACATGACCAATCGTTGGGTCGTGGTTCCGTATTAGCTCCAGTCCCCGAACCCCGTCCTGAAAAATTTCCGGATCCAGACAAACGTATAGTATGTAAATATAACACTGAGAAAAATTCCTAATTTCCTTATATTGGATTCATAACAAAACCGAAAAAATAATGGAAAACGTGTTAGGTTATGAAATTAAAAGTGAATATTTTTTAAGATTAAAAAAACCTCTTCCACGGCCTCCTCTGTCGCTACCTCGACCACCCCTATCACCACCACGACCACCTCTCCCTCCCCCACGAGCTGAAAGTATAAAAACACTGATTTATAAAACAAGTAAAAAATCTTAAAGAAGTAAAACATAATATTGAAATGACGAAGTGTCGAGTTGTCTAAAAGTAGTGGAAAACATCAGTAATCTTTCAGAAAAAGTTTAAAGTTTACCATCTCTACCATAGTCATCACGTGGCCCACCGTATCCACCCCGGCCACCCCCACGTCCTCCTCGATCGCCGAATCCTCCGCCAAAAGGTCCTCCCCGGTCTCCCCTGTCACCATAGCCTCCTCGATCATCAAAACCACCTCGTCCACCCCCACCAAAACGACCACCACGTCCACCGCCATCACGATCACTGTAACGACCTCCACCACCGCTTCCATATCCACTTTCATCTCGTCCTCTACCACCGAAACCGCCTGAATTTCATTATCTACATATTTGTGAAAAATTAACAGAACAGATTGAGACAAGCAACAGGACAAATGAAAAATCAACCTCCTCTTCCACCTCTGTCAAAGCCACGTCCTCCACGATCACCACCAAAACCGCCGCGGCCGCCTCTACCTCCACTACCTCGCGAAATGTCTGTCTTATATTTTGCGAAACTAAGGCTCATGCATTGTTCACTTCCAGGAAAACACTGTCCTGCAAACATAAAACATCGTTTTTATATCATTCATGGCATTAACTCGCTGAATGTACTTTAAATGCTAATGTGCCCGATTACCGGCAATCCTTACAGAAATTTAGTGGAAACAATAATGGATTTACCGTTATAAACATTTATTACTCGTTCAGCAGTTTTTGCGTCAACAAATGTAATTGTACATTCGCCTTTCGGTTGATTTGTTTCACGATCAGTATAAATTTTAATCCGAGGTTCACCAGTACGTTCGTTACGCGCTATATCTCCTTGAGTACTGAACACATCGGCAATGAATTGCTCATTTGCTCTACAAAAACAAGAACAACTACATAGCAAATTACTACATATACTTGTTTTTCGATAAATGCTTCAGATTACATATTTTTTGGAGACTTTACTGAAAAAATATAACTGAAGTTTACTACAAAAGCCTGTAGAAGGCAAATCTTGTCACTTTTTACATTAATTTTATTTTCAAAAGCACAAAAATAAATGTAAAAAAATACTACAGACAAGAGTATATTTTCACAAATGGAAAAGCGCGAAAGCAATGGCAGAATAACCTTCAATTAAGTATAAGAAAACGTACGTCACAGGTATTCCTTGGATAAAGACAGTTTCTCGAACTTCGACTTGGTCATCACGTGATCCAACTCCATACCCACCACCAGAACGAGGCCCAATTCTATCTGAACATGCAAATGTGTGAAACAAAATACAATTTACAGTTGATTATTAGTTGAATATATAGGCACACTTATTAGTAAAACCCTCCTTCAGTAATTGTTTGACTCGAAGTCTTAAGGCTGCACAAGTTTTATTTTGGCGACACCCAACCAAATCATATATAAAAACCAAAGCAGTGTAACACAAATTCCCTGAACAGAGAGACACATATATATATATACAATATATCCCACTTCGATAATTCTACCTTGATAGCCTCCACGAGCGCCCGGGCCTCCAGCACCCGGTCTGAAACAACACATTGACCTTTGACCTTGATGAATTGATGATAGTTGCGCTGACGATTATTCTCTTCAGACTCTCGTTAATTATTTTTTTGAGATTCAAAAAAAACTTGTGGCCAGGACACCCCTACTACCTTAACAAAAGGTATACCAATGTGTATCATTTCTCCCAATGTTTAAAAAATCCATATACTCCGACTGAAGAACCCTTGAAACTTTGCAACATGATCAAAATACCCTCAACGGACTCTCTTGCGTAGAAGCTTTAATTCACATCAAATTACGGGTAGTTTCACTCTTTAACCGAGCACTATTTTTCTGAGCACTATCTTTCCCATTGTTATAAAATTTTATAATTCAGAAGGTGAGAGAATGAAACAGAGAGTAATCGTAGTTCTCCCTGGAATCAGCGTCGAATACATATGTAGCACCGCGTTGTGTATCCTATGAAAAGCTAAACCAACATAATTTCGTCAATAATGAACAATACAATAACTTCTCCGAATTTCAACTATTTGTAACCATATTTGTCAAAGAAGGCAAGCATAGACTTACTTCCTACTTCATTTTAAAACACATATTGTTCAGCATGACAATAAATAGACCTAACAGTTGGAACAGTAAGAAGACACACGAAGTGCCGACTATTTCTGGAACGTCATTGCAACAGAATATACCGCTATGCAAAATGAGTGCAATATCAGCAGGAATTTCTTTAAAAACATCATGGTTTTTCAGATTTCCTGCATCAGTAATCTATGACCATTTCATTAAAATTTAAAGACACTCACTCATCCCGTTAATTATTCTTGTGCAAAACTATGCGACATAATAGTAAAATTATTTTTCTTAATGGGTAGTTCATAATTCACTTATTAAGAATTTCTGATAAAGTCGGCAGATCCCAATGTCTTTAAATAGAAAGACCAACTATAGAAGTGATACAAGATTCCATTATGTTCGGTACTTTTCTGCATAATACATGCATGCAACGTGCAATGTCCAATAAATACATGTTACCTAACCTATATATTAACCCATTATAAGCTGAACAATATGTGTCTCAAAAAAAAGTTAACTTTTAGCAAATTAGAAGAAAAGAGACGAACCGTAAATTTGTTCCTGCAAATATTTAAAGACAAATGAAAAATCTGGTACCACAGATTCTCGTGAGCGGCACTACTCACTTTTAAACGCCTCTCTGCTTATAATAATTTATAACCGTATCTTTCTCTCTCTATATCTGTGCAATTATGGTGCACAGAATAATACGGTATAGCACGATTCGTTTTTGCTGGAAGGCTACAAGTTATGTAATATTTTGTTTTAATCAAATTGACACTGCTGGATTTTCTCCATATCACGAAAATAACCAACGTTTATTCCAAAACTCACCTGGGCTACTTTTTACACGAAAATACTTCAGGAAAGCAGCAGGAGAAGACTAACACATACTCTCCTACGATAAGAACTACCAACCTGGCCACAAGATATTCCCAAATATTGGAATCACAGATATAACGTTACTTGGTGAGAATATTAATAAGTAGAAAAAAGTAACTGACCCTCCCCGATAATCATCGCCAGATCCACCACGATCACGTTCATCACTCCAACGACTCGGACGATCTCGTCCAACCCTGTCATCACGACTACCACGATCTGTAAAAAATATTTGACAACACTGCATCGATTAAGCAAACAAATTTAAGCAGAAAAAAAACTGTTCATAGTGGTTGAAAGTGAACATTTAAGTATTGGAAGATGGAAAAACATGAGCTAAACTGAGACAAATATTGCAATAAGATTATCTTCTCTAGGCGCATGATCAAAAAATTTACCTCTGTCTCTATCTCCATAGCCACCACGATCTCTATCATAACCGCCGCGACTTCCACGATCATCACGACCCCCTCGATCATCTCGACCACCGTAACGTTCACCACTATCTAAAGTTAACAATATCGTAATCCAAATAAGGGCCCAGAATACACATTTGAGTAAATATGCTCCTATTCAGACTCAATACATGCCAGATTCTTCACCATATTTTCAGAAGCCGATGTCAATTGAAACTGTATTTTTACTAAGTATGTCAAAATCTGAGTGCTGTAAGCAGGGAGAATGTGTAATTATCTCGGATATATTTTCGCATGAGCTCCCTTACATATTTAAGGAAGTTCACTGGTTCAGCGATAAAATTCTTTTTCAGTAAAATACAATCCTACTCAACAGCAGAGTTACTACTCCCGGAACAAAATACGATGCTTACCTCCATAACCACCTCGACCACCATGGTCATCTTCATAATCATAAGCACTTTTGCCAGTCACAGAACCGCTATGTTGTGTTGCACCTCTTCTACCTCCCTGTGGCACACCATAAACTGGAGCTGAAGCGTTACCGTACGCTGGTGCTGATGCTCCATTTTGTACTTGAGGAGCTCCTGCTTGCGCAAAATACCCCGAATAATTATGAGCAACATTTGGCTGAAAAAAAGTAACAATAAACAAATTTCAGAAACATCCTTAAAAAGGATGTAAAAATCCAAGAATTGGTCATACATCAGCTGTAGCTGCCGGCACTCCCTGTGGCACAACTGTTGGTACGGACCCTGCCCCTGGTGGCGCGACTCCTGGAACTCCGCCCGCCATGCCTGCCTGGCCTACTGCTGCATAATACTGTTGCCATGCCTGCAGGGATTTCAAAAAGATTAAATTGGACAAATACATCAACTTCAGGAATAAAATGCTCCTGCATTGCTGAAAATTTGAGCATTATCCATGCTACAGGTCTATTTACTCCCTATCCTATTCAAAAATGAAAAAAATATCTTCCAGATTTGCGTTAAACTGTGCTTTATCATCAAAGGAACAACACGTCATCTTTATTTATTTTTTTTAAAGAATATAGTGAAGTGACTTTAAGACACTTTTAAGCCTGTTTATTTGATGCATACTTCAATTTTTAACAAATGGTAAAATTTTGGACGGCAAACAATGCCGCATTATTCAGAAAAAGAAAAAAATGAAAATGATAGAACTGACTTGTTGGTACTGTGCTAACGCCGCCGGATCATACTGCTGGTAAGTTGCAGCTACAGCAACAGATGCGTTTGGATCAGTATTTCCTTGAGCAGCATTTGTCGCTTGTGGAGGAAATGCTGCGGCTCCATAAGCTAAAAAGAGAAATGAAATCATAAAACAATGACAACCACGTACTGGAAGTTTGGAAATAATAAGATATAATGATTACAATGCAGAACGATTTTAAAATTAATTTAACAGGGTAAGAATGCAACTACTTGTGCTTCAAAAGCCATACTAAGTTTCTTCTTAAAAAATCCTCTTTCCACATATACCAACTATTTATGACTCTAAAAAATTAGCATTAAGATTATTGCGTAACGTCAATACCAATAATTTTCAGTTTCAGTATTTTAATGTAAGAACAAAAAGAGCATTAAAATAAAAGAAATTGATTGGCAACATCTCTGTTTCTTCAACCGTTATTACTTTTCAGTAGCCAGGTCTACACAAAGCAAATCTTGCCCACTCATCGCAATAAATTCAAACATATGCATATTTTATTTTGGTCAGCGTTTTGACATTGCGAATGTTAACAAGTTTTTGGCATTACGAATATTAAAAAAGGCTTGTTACCATTCGCAACGCCAAAAAAAAAAAAGAGTACCGGCATTTCAAAAATTAAGTAAATTAAAAAAAATTTTTCTCAAAATAATCAATAATTGAAATTATTGAGGCACCACAAAACAAAAATATTTTTATCCTGCTAATTTCATCAGATATATTTCAGAATTATCGACACCACAGAAACGTCTTAAAAAAGATAATATTCCCAAAGTAAAATAAAATATCTGGGACATATGAAAGAGAATTTAACGATCCCGAAATCACTAGACTTGTCATAAAAAGAGGCGTGTTATTTTGTAACACCAAACATCCGAGTATTCGCTTCTTTACAGAGACCCCTCGGCTTATATTCATAGTTTTTCACCAATACTTATTTTTCATTGTTTAGCTTCCTTAAATTATTCTCAAGAGAAAGCTAAACACGTGTCATTTCATATGACTTTCCTATGAATTTCTCCGGCTAATTTATGCAGAGTTCCTAGGAATTAATTCGTTACGCCGCCATAAATACAAAATATAATGAATGAAACATGAGTGAAACGGAGGTGAAAACCAGCAGATATATAAAAGTAGGAATAATCCACAGCCAATTTATGTTTTTAGAACTTCTAAAACAAGAAACTCCCAAGACGACATACAGAGCTAGAAAAAGCGATAAAAAAGACAAAAATCCAGAAAAAGTGTTTTTAACATTTCTGGAGATCTTTCCGAAAATGGAACCGACTTGAAGATTGTTGATGCCCACTAGTTATAAATTTCTAAAAAATGCAAGCAAACTAATTCAAGTAAATTAAAAAGGACCGACCTGCCATAATGGATGTTCTTTTTACAGGTATTATTTGATGGTAATACAGAAACAGTTCTCCACGTCACGCAACTCGAGTATTACAGAGAACAAGAAGTGTCCTAGGCACACTAAAAATCGATTGTTGAATTACAAAACGGTAAAACTGGATGAGTGCCAATTTTCGCTCCTCATTCTTCCACCCAGGAATTCAATCCTAACTTGAAACGTGGTATCGAGAGATTCTAAACGTTTATCTACGCGCAGTATAACTAGTGATTCTAGCAGAGACACCTTTCCTGCATGAACATTGAAAGCCCTTCAAAAGTTTTTTGAAGAAAGTTGGAGTTGCAACTGTTGTGACAAAGTACTCGACGTTTCTTCAAAAGAATGAAATTGGAGTAGGGACCAACAATAGAGAGATTTCGCGCCCTAAACGGGACATCATCGAGGTTACGTCCATCCTCTCTACCTTCCACCTTTCATACTGTGCCTATAACCATGTTTTACGTCTCAATGTATAACTTTCAATCATCTCGGTATGCTACGATGGCACCCTTACGTGTCTCATGACTTCAAAGCATTTAATTTTGCAGTCCTGACACAATTGTCTGATTGCGATCTTTCCTCTTCCTACATATGCGTGGGTAGATGATTATTAACGTGATAGCCAAAGTAGGCCCATTGAAATATGGATGCTAAATTGGCGTGCTGATTAAAGGGTTGGGTTATAGAATTTGGTATGGAATGAATAATGGGGGCGAGGGAAGGGGGTGTTTAGCAAGCAGACAAACAGTGTGACATGCAAGCCAATGTGGAAAATAAGTCAGAGCATTGTAGCAAGCAGACAAACGATATGACATGCAAACCGATGTCGGGAAATAAGTCATCTCATTGTTTGCTGATGGTTTTCGAGAAAAGTATCATCATTAGAACATACAGTTTCTTGACAGATAAGTAGATGAAAACACAAAAATATTTTCCGCTATTGCAAATGTGTTATAAAATAAACGACTTTTTCCCTCCCATCCTTCCCCAACTATTCAAAACTGTTGCACTTTGTATCGCACCGTATGTACACTGACTGATAAGTTACATATCATAACTTTACCAACATATTTTACGGGTCGAGTATTTACATCCGTACGCTTGCAAATTACTTATACTATTTGAGGTAATTACATAATTGATTGCTATTATGAAATTTTTATATGTGACTGTAGAAAAATCAAATTACGTTTTTTTCGAATAGCTAAAAATAATTTGTAATTCACTAGTTATTGCTTCGATCGTTGTTCAATCACATACTGACATTGTATACAGAATATAAGTATTCTGACCGTAGAGCGCATTACCATAAAGAGATGATATTTGTTCGGTATACTATTATGTTGATGAGGCTTTTGTTGAATTCTCCGAATTATTAAATAAACGATAACAAATAAATGATCCTTTGTTCATTTTTAGTCACTTTTGATTTATAGCTTTTGATTTATCTATGTACTTGCAAATTATTTGTACCAACTCATTTAAGATAATTATAATTTGCAAATTGCAAAAGCTTAAAATATTATCGCTGAAATTTTGTTTAAAATTTACAGGTGTTGTCTATATTTTTAACAGTGTATTTCTTCTAAAGTTGTATTATTAATCCGCTTCACTTTAATAACGCAATTTGCGAGTGAAATCTAAATCCTTTGTTGTGAAGCTATTTCATTACGAGTGAGGCAAGGAAGTTTACCACTATCAGTTTTCTTTCAATTAACCGAATATCCGCTGTTATCAACTCCAGCAGAATAATCCAAAATCGATCCGATTATTAATTTTTCGATGAGCTTCGATTTACTCACAGCACGGTGCAAAGTAGCATATGCAAATCATATTTTGATATGCAGCTAATTCATCAATGAAATCAAATAAAATAGTGTTTTATGATATCGATTCCGTGTGTTTGTTGAATGGACATATTGCTATTCAATTCATTGTTTACATTATGAAAATAACGAAATTTTCGAAGCTTTTTGTGCGTCTATTATTTATTTGCTTCCGAGATCATTTACTCCTACAGATAGTATTATCTTCACTTGAGATTGAAGCTATCCAATAGAAAGAGATCATGAAGCAAATATCTTGGCACTATAAAACATCCTGGTTTGATCTTAAGTATAACAATAATCCATTAAATGTCACTAAAATCACAAAAAGATGGAGATTGAGGAGAATTAATGCTGATATAATGATGGTCTTTGCATTGCTTGTTTTGTAAGTAGACACTTTGCAATAGTTATTTGTAGATGTCATTAGATGTCATCACAAATCGTAGTGTCTCTGCTTAGCTGAAATGTAAGATACTCCATAAGTTATTCTTTGTTAGATACTCTTCGGATTATCGCAAATTAAAGGAAATTTTGTTTTGATTTGGATTTCATAACAAATAGAATTGAAGAATTTTCATACAATTGATAATTGCACGATTTTTGTTATTTACTAATGAATTAACACTTTGCTTCTACTAAAAGAAGGATAATGAAGACTTTGCAGATGAGAGAACTCCGAAAATTTCGCCATTTAACTTTTTAGCAGTACTTCATTGTCCATGTAAAGAACATAATATTGTTATGACTGTTATCAAGCATATTGGCATTCATCACTTCATTTCAGTTGAAATGGGATATTTTGCATTATACTTAATCAGAAATAATTGCTAGCTTTTATATTTTTGCTGCAATTATCTCCTTTCAACCGAACCATTTTTTTTAATTTTATGGGAAATTTTTCCGACTATCCAATCGTTATTTTAATGTAACTGTTTTTTCTGGTATTCCCTGATTCGGATCCATTTTTATGACATTTGTGAAGAAATTAATAAATGAATGACTTTCCTGAAAAGCTCTCATATAGAAAAATTTGAAAGAACGAATCAATGTAAAGAAATAGAAAGAGAGGAAATTTTAGGGATATTTTATCATATCCGGATATCGCTAATTTCTTATGCAAATTTATTTTTCGCGATTAACCATTCATCGTGTGTATATGACCTGTGACCGATCAACACTATTGCATTCTTTTTTTTTTCCGCCACTAATCAGCCATTGCATATCATACAAATATGTATGACTCATGACTATTGAATACTTTCATTATGCTTTTATATTTTCGCGCATAATTAATTGTTCATTATGTTTACATAAAATATGACCGGAGAATACTTTGATTACATTCATAACTTTTTCGTGACAAACTAACTGTTCATTGTATCATTTTCAATGCCTTTCAAAATCTTACTAATCGAGTTAGAAAATTTCTAAACAAACTTTTAAAATTTGTAGAGAAGTCCTAATTGCATTTCAAAACATAATTGCTGCCACATTTCTATCTTTCTATTCGATTAGTGACTCAAATGATGAATGTTGACAAGAATTGAGATTTTTAACTCAATTCCTATTCATATTTCATCATTTATTGTCATCACAAGAATATGGTCACATTTTATAATTGTAAATACCGCAATTCTTGTAATGGAAAGTATAAAATATGAGTTTAGCCGAGTTTTCATTGTTGTTTTTCCTATCTCTTTATTCCCTCTAGTAATACTATCATTGCCTTCTGAAACTTCTCGGGTAATTAATGCATTTTGCTTCTCTCATTTGAATACTATGTGAAAATGTAAATATGGCGATAGTAATCATTTTAAAACATGAAGCATATTATGAATCGTGCAAATACTTCCAGCGGACTAGACAGCCTAATAATCCGCAGACAGAAATGAATTCGCGTAACGCTCAGGGATGCCTTTAGCTGTCAGCAATTAATTATAGCATTCACATTCCCCAACTTTCTGGTACGAATTATCTATATGTTGCCTTAAAACTAATTTTCCATAAAATATTTGAAATTAAAATCTTCCGAATTCTAATTTATGAGCAAATTTTAATGAACTTCATATCTTCTAACATTTTTGACCTGTCTTATTCTATGTCTGTTTTATTAACAAAAATGAAAACTAACAAACGAATCATCAGCTCAAAATTCCCGACAATCTCTATTTATAGTAATGTTGACGAAAATTTTTAAATATCTTTTTAGACTTCAACAACTTTGCATGTGTCTAATTAATTAAGGCCAGATATCGATATCAGATAGTTTAGAAAAGGCATGGAACAGGAAACGAAATTTCGTTCGATTTGGGATTATTTCAGAACCGAAAATACTGAAATATTTTGTGCCAGATGTTAGAATTGTTCTATGATAAAGTTTAAGCCATAGGGTTATTCCCGATATTTTGTTAAGAAAAGATTTTTTTCTCTCACCGTGCTCTTAACTAAATACTTAGTATATATACTTAGTCGTTACAATTGACTGCCGTACTTGGTGATGCTGTGATGACAGCTGCTCATTTTATAAATAAACATATTTGCTTGAGATGGATAGCAAAATTGTTTGTTTTGTCATAATTATATGGTATTTATCACACATGAATGAAATTGACAAACAGCTCATGTTATTACGGAGTTAAATCTCTTTTCTCAACTTTTATATTTGTACCACCACCACGTGGCGGTTATTTATTACCTCTTAGCACGATATATTTTAAGTGAAATAATTGAAGTTAAACGTAATTATTTTCGATATTATTATTATCCAAACGGCGTGATTTGCTCATTAATAATAAAGATATCTTAATTACAGTGCAAATATGATCCTGTCATTAATATTCTACATCATGTAAGTGTATTTCTTTTCACGTTCTTACAAATTAGTTAAATTAATTTATTTATAAGAATTTTTCCATGATTTATCAGTAATTGTATTTCACTCTCAACTATGTTTTACTTATAGGCTGGTTCATGCTAATGCTGTCATCTATACCGAAGCAAAGTCTGTATCGACGTCAAGTTCTTTAACTGTCTTCATTCAACATAATAAAACTGTTTGCAAAGTTCAGGTAATACTAGAATAATTCCCATGTATTTATAATAATTCAGAAAAAATTTCATATCTTGTGTCAAAATTAGGCTTACGACTGATACCGAAGCAAGGAATGTATGATCCTTAGAGGATCATATAAATTGGTGCCTTTCTCAGGTTAGGAAAGCCAGTAGTACGTCAAGTTTGCAGTAATTTGCTTGACCACATGGCTGAAGTACTTACTTCTGGTGTCATACTCATTGATTTTAATTTCTAAATAGGCAAGGACAAGTGGTAAACAAAATAATGAACTTTATTTTGCAGGACGGTGTCCTCTCGATCAATGATAAAGTGGTGGGTAATTTAACGGAGGAGCAAAACGAAGAATTAAAGAAGTTCATTAACGAGACAGAAGAACTGTTCATTCAGCGCTTCCATAATGTAAAGTTATTCGTTGTTATGGCGGTATTCTTGCATTTAGTTATATGAAATGAAGGGAAAAACAAATGAAGATTATTATAAACATTAAGAAATCGAATACGGCTAACCATAATAAGCTTATGATTGGTGCACTTTTAATGAGTTTTCCTTGAAGTTTTCCTTAATGACTTTTAATGAGTTTTCCTTGAATTCACTATCAAGATTTGTTTTCATATAATTTTAATTAATCAAGATTTAATCTTGACTTATATCTTACTATGTCTTACTTGACATTTGTTCTGGAAAGGTGTCTCCTTATGATAATTTATCGATATATCATCAGATAATTTGATAAATGAATAATGATTGACAACTTCATTTTCAGATTATTAATAGCATTTTTGAAACAATGAAGAACGTTTGGAACAATCCATGGGATTTTTCTTTGGGCTTCTTTTCTCATCCCTCAAAGCGAAAGGAAGATGTGAAGGAATCGAAAGAAAAAATGAATAAAGTAAAAATTACGGAAGAAGGTGTTGATCCTTTAATTTTTAACGTTTGGAATATACCATCATTTTGTAAAGATGAATAATTGCTGTAATATGGTTGGTTGGTATGTTGTAATGGCGCTGTGATTCACTTTCATCTGTAAGATTTTAATTCGATGTTTTTTGCTGAAAAATTGTATTTTTTCGAAAAATTATAACTAAATCATATTAAGCTATGATTTACTATATTATTATGTTTAATATCTTTGCTCATGTAAACAATACACTAACAGTTATAAATAGACAGAAATGAATATTTAATTCATTTTGTCATTATCCGTATTACATGAATAAAGAAACAGAGCATTATAGTTTTTGTTTACTTGCATGATTTCGCTCTAAGAACATGTTAAAAAGAAGTGAAAATATCATGTATGGAAATTGCTAGATCGTCTAATGAACCCATCAACTAACGAAAGCAGGACCTATGAATAAGAGAATTACTAGTAAGTTATAATCATCAGTTCTGTTTATCATTGATTAATGGTAATTAATGGGTTTCTCCTGATAACTAGTGACCGAAATCAATATATTGTAAAAACATATAAATTAAAATGTTGTAAAAAGTCACATTTACTGCCGAACTTTTTCCATTTCTCAACATTTCTGAAAGTTTTTGATGGCAATATGATGGTATGGCATATGAAAATGCTATTAACATGAATGCGAAACCTGATGAAAGTAAAATATGTTTGGGTGGCATGCATTTTTTATCAGTCTTCAATCATTATTTAAAGACCCAACCACTAAAAAGGCTTTATGATTCATTTCAAAAATTTTCAGATCTTTCTGACAATACAAACGCTTAGAGAGTTGCAAAAAAATCTCAACTGTCCCTATTATATTTCCCCCTTTTTGCTATTCTTATTATTTGATTCCTTAGTTTCGGTAAAAACATATCTAATCTGAAATTAGTTAAGTCAATTTCAATGGGTATATTTGTAACAAATTCAGTCATGTAAGTTTTATTCCATTTACAAATTCTATCGATCAAAGAATCCACTGATCCACCATAATTACCTATTAATCTGAACATTTGAGAAAGTTTGAAAATTTATGCATAGCTTTTTATAAATATAATTTAATTATTTTCAATGATAAGATTAAGATTTCACCCTCATAGTGCTTTTATCAAATAAATAAATCTTTTTTCCTAAAATTCAATGTTTCAGATCGTTAATAGTAATATCGTTTGGCCTAGCTGTTGCACTTCCTACTTCCGTCCCCCCTTTATTATCCGTTATGGCAAATGGTCTTATTTGCACTATTGTGGTAAATTTATTTCAAAGAATTTTCAAATTTCTATTAGAAATTTTCAAAATAAAAATACTGAAATTCTTTAGCAATTAAAATAAAAGAATCAATGAGTGAGTGGTCATTAAGTGACAGTTGGATAGTTATAAAAATTAATTAAACTGTGATTAAACTATGATTGTAACAAAAGCGCATCTCTAATAAATGAGATTTTCTAGGATGGCAAAATTTACGTAAACAATGTATATAAAAGTGATGCTACCATGAAAAATATTGAGGAAGTTAAAATTTACAATAAGCAAATGCGCGAATGGACAAAATCGCTCCATGATGCGATGTATACGGCATGTTTTATATGATTTTTGCATATGTGTTCCTTACATATAGCCATGAAATATGAGTCCATCACCTATCCAACTATTCGTTCGTTTCATATCGGATCGCCTCGATGCATTCTGTATGATCAGATTTTTAAATAGAATCAGAAAACAGGATAATGTTCTGTCTCAATCAATTCATTAACTCTTATCACAGTCCTATCTAATTTTTATTAAAGGTCGAATTTTAAGGATCGAACTATCACAGAAGCATCTTTAAGACACACTTCCATGTTGTTTTTTTTGCAGACTATGAAAAAAATGATAAGTGATATGTTTGGTGATCACGGTTCATTTTGGCGACATCTCCAAGGACCATTTTGGGAAGCGGTCAATGCATATGGACCAGATAGTGATGAGATGAATCCAATATTGATGCCACTGAAGCAAGAGCAGAGAAAAAAGGTGGTGTTACACATTCCGAAAATATTACCTTATCCGGATGCACCTTCTTTTTGTAACTATGATGATGAAGTGATTTCGTGATATATTTTTAATTTAAGGATTATAATCAGCATATAGCTGATTATAATCTTTCAATTAAATATAATCAGCTATATACTGATTATAATATTTTTGAGAATATTTCGGCAGGAAAAATTCGCAGGGAGTATTTTCTTTCCTCTATTTTCAGATTTTGATTAATTTTAGAATAATCTTAAATTGGGCACAAATATGGATTTTAATTTTGATTAAGTTTGAAACTATGCTTACTATTCTAACATCTAAATAAATTTCAATTTTAGTAATTATTTCAGTCGGCTGGAAAATAAATTTCAATAATAATGTGAGTAGAAAATGTAAAAAAAATACAATTTTCTATTATTGGATCACTGGAAAGCGTCATGATAATAATCAAAATGGAATTAATATGCTATAAGTTTAATGACAGTTTCTCGCAGAAAGAATCGTATCTTCCGGATACTGTATAGATTTTTTCATTTTCTGCTTTTTCTCTTTTATCCTTATAAAAATTGAATGCGAAAAAAACTGAATGTGTTTTTCAGGAAATTTTAATTAGTTATCTATCAACATAGAGAAAATATTTGAGTTAAGCTTTTTCGTGGAAAATCTTTCTTCTTTTGTTTGCGGGTAATTAAGATAATTGTTGCAAAGCTAATACAGTAAATTATTGCTTTGTTAGAATATGTCCACTAAAATAAAATCTGAAAAGAGTGAAGCACAAGTAGTTATGTCCATTGCATAATTTGTATATTGTTACTTCTTGCAATCAGGAAAATAACTTACCATTAGAAATGTAAAGCTTGCCATTCGAAAACTTTTGCGGTAAAAAAATGAGCTAAAATTAGAGACAAAAAAAGTAAAATCGAAGCTCTTTGCAAATTGAATACAAATATTTGTCAATTTTTCGAAAGTTCCAAAAGATACAGAATATTAATAACAATTAAATATATTCTGGATGCTATTATTTAGTATTTTATTCAATAATCCGTGCGATTCTCAGATTACAATTATATATGAATTTGTTGCGGTAATGAAATTTTCTCGCAATCGGAACATTTTCGCTCCATAAATTTCATTTTACTCTTGAAAAAAGTAATTTAGAATCAATATATACTTCCTTTAAATATTTATTATTGTTGTTCATTAACAAGTCATTAATTATCCTTTATAATTAATGACTTGCACAATGAAATCATTCATAGAGAACTCGTGGCTAGTTGCATTACAGTGAGAAGTGAAGAAACGAAATTAGGATGAATATTTGTCAAGTATTATTTCAGATTTAGGAAGAGTTTGTTCCTTATTTAAACTACAGTCTCTGTAGTTTAAATAAGGAACAAACTGAGTACGATCAATTTTGCGAATATTTGCTGAAAAAAAGGAATGAAATCTATTCTAGTTCTTTCTACTGATTTCTAATTATGGGATCAATTCGAGTTAGATTGCAATTTCTATATCTGATTATGATATTTATCATTCAAGTAATTGCGATTGCTTTCATATTGCCCTATTTTTTTCCTAGTATATATTATGATAATAACATGGTAAGATATTACACCTAATTATTGTCGAAAAAGAACATGTTCCTCTTCCCCCCTCGATCTTTTAGAATTTAGTTTTGAATTTCATTATTCGATTTTGATAATAAAATCTAAAAATTAAATATTTCGTAATGGACAAATAGAGAGGAAAGAACAGTGCAGCAAGAGAAGGTGAAGAGAAAAATGAATTAAATTGATGCGAATTGATGCGAACAATTATAGCAAACACTGTTTTTGTTGTTATCATTGTTATCATTACGGTTTCAATAATTCATTGACAAGTTAAAAACGGAAGTCATCGTCCAATTTCATTTAAAAAACATTCTCAAATAACAATCATAGAAAATGTGTTGTGAAAACTATTTACAGAAATCGAATATATTTTCGCTTCGAGAAAATCAATTCAAGGAATCATATTAAACAAAGTATCAAAGCATGGAATAAAGTGTAATTAATTCATGTAGTTACCAAATAAATTATTAATTTGCATTATATTGAGTTATGTAATCTCAAAAAAGTCAAGAATGAATTCACACAATCAAGTTAGTGTTTGATTAGATCATTATCACTATCCTATTATCACAATCACTGTCACCGATATAATCATTTGCAACTATTATCAACGGCATTAATTGCTAATTACGCATTTTTAATTAATCTTCTATGAATCCACCAAAGCCTATTCTAAATATTCCGGAAGAAGTGTGATGCATGGAAGATCGAATGAAGTTAACATTCCGCACGGCAAAACCATTTAGTGGTGATGTATTTGTGAAGGAAAAAAAATTATTGAAATGACCTCATTACATTTTAAGGATTTGTTTGTTAAAGACATAACAAACCAACGGTATGGTTATTTTGAAATATTTCTTTTTTCAACAATTTTAGCCAATATTTCGTGTTTAAGAATAATGAAGATGGAAATATGGCTTTCTCTAAAGTAAATGTCATTAAATTTATGAATAAAACTGACCATTTATTTCCAGCTCTCTTTCCATTGTATGCGTTCAAAAGGAAAATGTTATGAGTGAGCGAACTGTTAGTGTTGAAAATGATTTTTCAAATCAAAAATTAAACTGTCTGAAAATTATTTATATTTCAATTATATTAATATTATTGATTGATTTGGTTTTGATTGTTATCATAAGCAATTTTTTTGCTTTTATTTGAAAGTTATTTTAAAGCGCTAAATTTAATTTTTCCCTCAGTATTCAAAATTGCTAATAATATAAGAATATTTGTTCTCCCCGCAGAGTAATAAAATTATATGTTTAAAAAGATCCATCCTTTAGCTTTCAATTTGTGTTAAATGGGATATTTCGAAAGAAGAACGACTCAGATATTTGCAAATTCAGATATAGAACAAAAAAGTGAAAAAATAGCAAGTTCAATTTCGAAATTTTGAAAATTACGAAGCATTGCAAAACCGATCGCATCATTTCTGTTAGAAAATAAAACTTCAGTTAAAGGGAATACGGTAGATTTGTCAGCCGATAAAAATTGTTGCGTTAGATTTGGATGAAGAAAAACCGATTAATACAGAAAGCGCCTTATCATCTCAGGTAAAATTTTGTAACAAATTGAATCATATTCGAGATAATCTATTTCATCGTTTTCTGTTTTTATTATCTCAGGCAAAATTTTGTAACATTAATTTCGCCCACAATAAATTTTCATTTTTAAAACTTTTATAATTCGATCATTTATTTGATCGTTGAAACAGTAATCAATACGTATACAATACATATATCATCACATTTACGCATTAATTTACGTTATATTAAAGTAAATTAATGAATTAAGTCCATAATTTCGTTTATCATAATTTCAAGAGTAAGAAATGTTAAATGTTAATAATTTTTATTTTTTTTAAGCTGGAAAACGAAATAACAAAAATGCTACATAATAGTGGAAATTTTTACTTGAATTTATCGATTGTCACGAATTTATCGATTATCGATACTATTAAATACAATCATTTGTCTGCTATTTATCATAGTGATTAGAGGATTTGTTAAGATGATAGTGTGAATGAGTGAAATGATTGAAAAATTACTTCTATAAAATGAACAGATATTATTTATCAATGTGCTCATCTTGACTACTTTCTTTTAGTTCGAGTTATTAAAGGATCATAATCAAATTTTATTCCATCATTTAAATAATTCTTTAATCTTATCCTCAATTAACTCCATTAATACTATCTTTTAATTTACAAAATATAACCGATCTATTCGGTTATTTTGTAATGAATTTTGTGTTTTACAAAATCAATTCTCTGCATTGTTCTCAGTATTTTTGTTAAAGTAAAAGATTGAGAAGAATTCATTTACACTGAGAGGGATAAATATTTCTTTACATCGCATCATCCCTTCTTGGTTGTAAGCTTTAGCATCATACCAAACACAATTTATTTTATCCATCATTTATCACCATTATCAGAACTACACAATTTTTTCTTATTAATTTATATCAGACTAAAAAGTGTAAGAAATTGAGCACAATAGAAGTTAACTAAGTTTTATAATTCACTGAGTTTATCTATCGTTGTGAATCGTTAAAATGACAGCTCTAACTTAATCTGTCAGTATTTATGTATTACTCCTCTAATTTCGAGCTCAGTTTCCTGAAAAATGGTAGTTTATATAACATAATATTTTCCCAACCGATTTTCAGCAAATGAATCCAGAAAGCTTGAAATTTTGAAATTTCTTAAAATTGCAAGAATATATTATTGCCTGTTAGAAATGAATTGAAATATACTTTAGAAATTTTGGTTTTTATTCAAAGCGCTAAATCATTTAATTCGTATGAACCTAAATTTTAAAAGAGAAGTGTTGAAACCACTTGCTGCAAAATGATTAAAATTTTCGAAGAGTGAAAATATTTTTCTATTTGTTTGTTACTTCCTCAATTCAAATCTTTAAGCCTGATAATGAGCTTATCACCGGATAAATGATGCACAAAAATAAACTAACTTATCCATTTAAAATTCGAATTTTTCTCTATTGAATCCTTTATAGCATAAAATACTTTAAAACTCAGTCATTTACACTTGTCGGAGCAGTTAGAAATCTTGACGGGGTTAAATAAAAGCGCTAAAGTTAAGATCAGTGAAAGAGGAGTATCGTTTTGTATATGACAGTTGCGCATTAGTTTGTGTTATTTCAGAATTCTTTATAGGTACTGTAATTCTGAAAGCAAACATTGCGTTAATAAAGGATTACATGGATAAATAAATTTTGTGATCAGGAGTTTCAGACTCTTTTGATTCAGAATTATCTCTTTTGATTTCATTAAATTATTCCTTACAGTGATATATAAAAGGTTTTGAATGAGGATAGCTTATTATCTCATCGTAGCTGTTTTTTAGAATTTTCATCAATCTTCACTATCAATTTAATTTGCATGGATGGCTATCATTCTTTGTTTATTACTCGTCTACGTTACAATTTTCCTAAAATTGAGATAGTTTCAACTGTTTCTGCAAGTAATTTTCACGTTATTGCACTGTGTTTATACTTTTACATAATAATATTTCATATTGAATGAATATTGAATGATGTTATCATTTCCATTATCACTAGCAGAAGCAAGTGAAAGAAAATAAACATTTTCTGATAATTATTGCTTTCATGTTGTATTGATCCTTGATGTTGATTCCAATGTTGTTGTTAATAACGTTCGTGACGATGCCACACGCTGATTACGTAGCACACGTTGTATAGGACATACCAGTTCGATGTGTTTGTTCAAATAACTTTTCAAGGCAAACGATTTCCCGCAACCAGGACATTTATACTTTTTGATACCTGCAATAAGATGAAAACTTCAATTCTTAAGAGAAAAGAAATTCTCGATAAAAAATAGATGATAAAAAAACTGATGAAGTTACTAAACCATAAGCATTTTAGCATTTCTCTATTTTTTTTAATTGATTTTTAAATTCAGAATTTACGACAGATTTCGGATCGTTGATAATACTTGTCAAGAATTGTATTACAATAAAACAGGATGGAATAGAATAGAAAATATTTCAATTTTTCAGTAATTTCATCAATTATTTTAAATTTTTTTGCCAGAAAAATTACTCATTTCAATTGAAAAAAATTAATTGATATGTAATACTTAAAAAGACAATAACATAAACATCAATCTATGTGCAATGAGGCATACGATAATTTATTAGCTTATATGTTTGGTAAAATAATACGAAAATGAGAGGATTCTAATGGGGGTATTATATGATGGAAAAAAGGGTTATGGTGCTAACTTGTAGCTTACTTAATCCCACTTCCTTAAGCTTTATTAAGATTGCATTTTTGCAACATCGTTTGGTAATTTTATTATAATATCATGTCCCTCATAACTCTATCTTGGCCAAAAAATTGCTAACTTTTAGCTTAAGAAGATCCTATAAAATATTTCAGTAGCGTAGAATCAATTGTTAGAGCAAAAAAAAGACTTACCGGAATGAGTATGCATATGAGCACGAAGATTGCTACGATCAGCAAAAGCCTTTCCGCAATGCGCACAACCGTACGGTTTTTGACCTGTATGAGCACGCATATGACCTTGCAGAAGCCATGGTCGTGAGAATGTTTTACCACATTGCGCGCATTTATGTGTTGCTTTGTGAGTCAACATGTGCATGCTACAAATCTTCGATGTTTTCATTCGTTCAAGAATTATCAGTTTGCTGGTGAAATTATATTTTAGAGAATATGATTTCTTATAAGGTGGCAAAAATTTCGAAAGATTTTCCGAAAAATATGGATTCAGAGGAAATTGAAACTGTTGTGACGTTATATATAGAATAAAAATCAATATTGTTATACCTGAGCGCAGGCATGCTAACATAGACCCGATCACAGCTGGGGCATTGCTTCGCATAGGGACTATCCAGAGGTCGATGGGTTTGCTTATGTCGTGATAAGTTGGAAGTTGTCGCATATGACTTACCACATTGACTACAAATTAACCTGCCTGTGGCTGAAGTCTAAAAAGTGGAAAATATTTGCCAAATTAAATTATGTTGCCATAAATTATCACGATATGAAAAGAAATTTCTTGGAAAAAAATGGCAATTTCCTTCCATAACTAATTAAGGACGAATATCCGACAAGCAAAAATCTGACTATCTCAAATGCATTGACATAGTTTGAATATTGTTTCTGAAGTTCAATGAGTTCATTCAATTGATAGAATTTTAATTTTATATGCACTGAATTACAATGTGCAAAATGGACCTCCTTATCAGTGCTCATTTCTTTCCTACGTTTCGATCGTCCATCTGTTGATTGCAAAGCATCAAGCGTGTATCTTGTCGTACCGCCTTCGCAGGTTTGATTGTTTGAAGTGGAAAGTTCCATTTAAAAAAGAATTAAGTAAAGTGGAGTATCTTCCAAAGATAAATTGAAATTTTGAAATATTAAAATTTTATAAAAACACTTGACTCACCTTAGGAAAACTCCTTTCAGATAATTTTATATTCATGATAGTTCGGGATGGATTCGTTTTACCCAATAAACTTTCTATTGAAAATGCATCGATTTTACAATTTCTTGCCTAAAATATATAAAAGTAATAATGATTATGCCAATTCTTACTACGGCTTTTATTTTCAATTATTCTAATTTTGAAGAAAATAAATTTATCTTGTCAAGATGCACAAAATACTATATAATAAACCAATCCAATATGTACCAATATACAATACAGATTATCTTACTTAATTGTTTTGCTTCAATTAAATAAGATTCTGATTTACCAACATAAAGTTTCTATTCTCAAAAAGTTAGCAAGTTCGAAAATTTTAAAAAGAAATAGTAGGGTAATATAGGTTGCAGTATACCTATTTATTTTCAACTGATGTATTTTAAGTAATTTTGAACTAATCTTTCATTTATTTATTTAGCATAAATTTTGTTATTTTAGTCCCATTAATAGGCTGAACGATCTATTATTAAATTTAAAAATTAAAATTTAAAACACGTTACCAGGATTGTCCAGTTACTCATTGATTTTTCTTAGTTTATACAAATCATAGAAAGTCTGATATGAACATTTTGAGAGTGAGGTTCAGAAGCTATTGAATATTTCCGTTACATTTAACCAACAAATTGATGTGACATCAATGATTGGAACTAATGATATACACAGTGAATAAATGTGCTATGTTGCTCAGGTCGATTGGTTTAACTTCATATAAATTTTTTAGGTAGGATTTGACGAATGAGCGGGTGGAGAATGGGTGCAATAGCTCAATCCTTAAGGTGAATTTCCTTCCTTTCTGGTATCATGGGAAACATAATTGGTGTTGCATGTATTGGCCATTCGTTTTATGGAAAGATCTCAATTACTTGAATCTGAGAACTTTTGAAATACTGCTCGTAACATTTTTTTTAATTTCAACAAAATATATTTTTTTTCTTCTGAAGTATAAGGGCAGAAGGATGGCAGAATGATAGGATGATTATTCCCAGTTTAAAATATAATTAAGAGAGTAAAAGTTTTCATTTAATATGTAAAGTAAAAGAATTTCTGACTTTGTATATAATAGGTTGTAATAATGAAAGCATAGCTTAAAAACTATGTCGATGTTACGAGAAACGTTTATTTCTTCGGCCTGATTGTTAGGGCCTAAGACTTCATCTAACTCTAACTCTACAGTGTTTTGTAATAATTTCGATCACTAAGCCTGTTCGGTTATTCAGAGCAGCATTTTTTTTAAATGCTGGTGTGGAATTGGTTTAAAACACTGGTATGAAATTTGCATCTCTATCAGTGGAACTGGTTTAAGATGTTATATTTTAAACTATTCAGTTTACTTAATAATAATATTCACAATTATTCTTTTACTTCTATTAACTTAAGACAGCATGCAATCAAATGGGAAGAGTCACTGTATCATTATTTTATTACTTATTAATTTAAATACCTTTTTATTTTTTGAGAAATTCTCATCATTACTTGAAGTACTGGGTAAACACAATGATTGGCTGTTTGTTTGTGTTCTATTAAGTCCATTTTGCAAATACAAATTTAGATGTGGTGCCAAATCTGAAAATGATATTGCAGAAAAAAAGAAATATTATTTTGATGAATCTTTAAGGCTTACTATAATAATTGCTTATTTAAACTGCTCTTCAGTTCTGGTGGCGAAGAAATTCATTCAACTACAGTTCAAGTGATCATACATTTTCTAATATATTATCAAATACATAGGCAAACAAACAAACAAACAATGGAACAAACTGTTAAATATAAAAATTCAGAATTAATAATTAAATATAAAGCACAAAATAAAAATAAAAACAACAAATCTCAAAAGGAACTGGAAATAATTTCCTGAGACTTCTACTAAATCTTACATTTTATCCATTTACATTGACATAAAAGATGTTTTATATAAATGTGATTTTATATAAAATAAATTTTATAACTCACTGCATGTGTCTGTGTTACTGCATTTTGCAAGAGCATTTTTAGGTAGCTCGATAGATGGTCGTGAGAATACAGGTACTGCAAAGTGTGACAGTAAAAAGGGAGTAAGTAATTTGGATCCAGATTCGACATTATTTGTAGTGCAAATCATGCTGGAAGAGGGGGTGGAGAGCTGATTGAGAAATTCTTGCTTTACGGTGGAAACTGGTCGCAACCTTGGAGAGAAATTCCATTCATCCAAGACTGTAGTATTTTTCGGTGCTGGCGATGGCCAGTTCGACATTTGTGGTTCTGAAATTTGAAAGCTCAAATATTGTGCAAAAATGATACGATAATACTTCAGTAGAGTCTTTTTGTTAACGAAATTTATCGAATATAGGGAGGAGAAAAGGAATTTTAATATTTCAAAATTCAGATATGTAACGGTACATTTTAAAAAATTGCATCATTTTTGTAAAAAGATTTGCAACATTTATTTGAAATATTGTAATATCTGTCAATTTAAAATTAGAAAATCTAATTTCTACAAGTTTTCTTTCTTCAAAGATTTTTATCTCAACAATTAAATTTACAAGAACAAATTTTGTTAAAAACGAGCAAACTATTGTTGAGCCAAGCAAATGGTGATCCTCTTCTTTTATACATAAACCTCCTTTTTTGCCCTTCATACAAATTTCTTCTTCAACATATCTGACAATTTTTTGGGATGGATCGGAACGGACGAGAAAAAGCGGTATGTATGGATAGTTAGTAAGGGGGCGTCCCACCATGGATTGGACTTCTTATTGGTTGATCTGTCCATGCACAGCTGCCTTTCACTCTTCCAGAATTACGGATTTTCTGAAGAGGAAGGAGGAGAGAAAGTCATGATGTACAAAATAAGACTTTTCGGCCTGTTCTTCGAAGAAGACAAAACAAATTGGTAGCAACGTTTCAAACAATCATTAACTTCGTTTTACAATCACTTCTAAGTATGCATCTATTAGCATTTCAAGTCAACATCAATACCGCGACATATTCGTGATATCACTTTTACAATACATGATATTTATTTGTTTCAAATTTTACCATCTGATTTTGATGAATTAAAATTTGAATTTCTTTTAAGCAATCGTTATTTAATATCTATGGACAGTTGAAATAGAGTAATGATGATTGAAATTTTGGTTACGAGCTATTGAAGTTGAACATGCTTAGGGTTGCCAATGAATATCAAACAGATGGGTTTGCGAAATGGCGATTGAGTAAGGTCTGCTAAGGAAAATGATTGATTACAGTGATGCGAAATATCCAATAGTCTGATGGTGTTATTTTGCTATTGAATTTGCCGCTGTTTATCATCAATTTTTTTAATCGCACATATGGCTATATCTAGCATAAAAAGATACAGTATTATTAAATTATCACTAGTAACATTTCATCCATTCATGATAAGTTTAAAAGTATCTTTGTCGAATAATTAATTTATCATCTAATGAGAATCCTAATTCTTTGTTGCATTTCACGGGATATTTGAGAATTAGTTCTTTTTTTATGTTTCAACTATTTTATTAATTATCGCTTATCAAAACTCAATAATGAGAGCAGCTTTTAAATTTAAATGTTTGTAAAATTTCCATTACTTAACTAGTTTAACTTTTTTGTTTCTCGTAATAACTGCTGCAAGCCGATAAAACGTTTGTGAATCTTCTAATCAAGCTATCAAATCGTATTGTTTAGTCCATCTGCTGCATAGAATTGTTTTCTTCATTATTTAAAGTACGAAGAAGTTAACAAATTTCAAATGAACCATCTTAGTAAACATTCATTGGATTAAATAGTTGACCTTCCAAATTCATCTTGAAAGGTTGGCCCGTGATCTTCAACTAATTGCTTGAGTGGTTCGATTGCATCAAAAGCGTCATGTGATACAGCAATAACTCAAAGCCTTGTTTTCCTGTATACTTCTCACTCAACTCACATTAATCTTGAAGAACACCTGTACCTATATCAATGCTTATCTAAACCTCTTATCGTCTTTCCACTCAAGTAACCTTCAATTATAAGTCATACACGATCCTTAACCTGTTATTCAGTTTCTCATTTCATGCATTCTATAATTTCTACTAATTGAACAATATTTATACATCAAAAAATTGCATAAAAATGTTTTATTATGCCATAACTTTATAGCAATCCTAAAGATTAAAGCAAATGAACAAATACCAGCTTAAACTCTATCAGTAAATGTTTCAAAATATTATTAAATAATTTTTTTTACCGTACTTTTTTTGATGAAATTAGTAAATGCATGAAATTTGAGTGATTCATGGAGATTTTTGTTGAATTTTTTATCAGAAATTCAAACTGTTAATTAGTTACTATGCACTGTTGAGATCTATTAGTGAAATTCAAAAGTGTTGTTGTTTAAGCATAAATAAGGAAATCAATGCAAATTATTTTTTGCTAATATATGGCATTGTTTGTTTCATACTATTAGCTACAGTAACCGGGCCAGAAAAGTGTGCAGATGGTTGTTGCGGGTTGTCGCAGGTGTTGACCCCTACGGCCTCTAGATGCAACGTTACGTAACCCTACCCAATCAATTCGTTCACTTCTCATCCACCAATTCCTTAACCATTTTCTAACAAAAAGCATAAGGCATCTCATTTTCATCTTTCCTTCCTCCTTTTTTTATGGGATTTATCAATGAAAGTATTACATGTTGGTGAATTATTATGTTATGCGATGTTGAAATGAATTCATTTTTGAATACATACAATAAATAAATGGGTCATAAAATTGACCAGAAAGTTGAAACAAAGAAGGAAGCAAAATTAAGTAACAGATATGTTAACATTTCCGCTAATCTCTGGCCAAGGACTGTAATAAAATGAAAATGAAGTCTGTTTTATGAGTTAATTCATTATTATTTGTATACATACTTAAATCAAAATAGTTACTCCATTAACTGCAGAAGTGTTTAGCAAGGAGATGAAGAAGATGGTACTTGAAGTGATATTTTGTTGGGCGCTAATGGAAAGAAACATCAGGCTGCTTTTCCATCAATCTCTTTTCATAAGATTGTTACTGGTAAAGGGTGTTGAATGCTGTTGAAATATTTGTTATTCAAATTGAAAATTTTTCAACAAATATTTAGGGAAAATGAAAAAGCATTGTCAACAACAATTCATTTAACAATTACGGCAATTGGTAATTTCTTAAAGTTATTTGAATTGGATAATACCAATTCCAAAATCGCTTAAATTAATTGAACTTTATGTTTTTGATGTTTTTCAAATTGTAACAAAGCGCTGAATCGATTTATACAAGATTGTTTTACCTTTGATTATCTCATTTCATGATTATTATCATTCTCATTTTCATTATACGCGTAAATTATCTCAATGGCTTAGTTATTACCAAAGGAATGGTTTACAAAACTGAAAAAATTTGTCAATACCTTTCATAAATATATGGATTTCATATATTTCCGAAATGACATTCATATAAACATCGCAAAAACTTTTTCTTCTTCTTTTAAAATTATATACCTTACAGCATAACATTTCCGGAAAAGATCAAAACGAAATGTAAAAAAGAATTTGTCATCAGATGTAAATCAAATTATAAAATGAAATCTTCAATTTCTAAATTCAAGATCTTTGAAAAGATAAAAGATTCAAAAAATTTTGTAGACATACGGAAATTTATTTTGTAATAATCCCAAGGGTCAATTATCTGATAAGAATATCCTTCAAGATTATACTCAACGACTGACTTTAAAAGACTAGCATATTTGATGATCGGGGAGAGGCCGTTTTCACTACCGACGGAAGACATCATTTTGTTTACAGTAATTCCTCATAATCAGAGGACAATCTGGAGGATAAGCTGACTGGAAGAATTGTCAGGTTGTCAAAAAATTGTCAAATTTTGATAAGCTTCCTGAGGGTTCACTAACATTTCGTTATTCGTCTGCTCATCCTAAAAGCAAGCCTTTTAATAGTCACTCACTCTTTATCAGCTCAGAAATCAGTCACTTCCAAAGCAAGCTTTACGCTTACTGCTTGAGCTATCAAATTAAATAATTAGAAATTAACTTGTGGACAATTTTACAAATCTATGAAAATTTCGTTTGTTTTTAGAATTGAGCGTGAAAATTGCAAACAAATAAATGACGTAAATTTTTGGATCGAATGATTTCATTAAATTATTCAAACAAATATAATTTTAAAATGAAAAAATTTTGAGTCGGTAATATCAAAGAAGAAGTATGGATATCACAATAATCCTTTCAGTAGTGGTATCAACACCTTGATGACATGTTCAAACATATATTTCCATTGTCACCCTTGGAACAGATTGCAGATCGTTTCGGTAATGTCAATCTGCGCCCTTTCTTGAAGCATTATGTACTGAGGTTAGCTATACCCCCTGTAGCGTATTACTGTTCTTCACATCCTTCATAAAAACAAATAACTCAAAAAGCTGACATATCATTCGATATTATCATTCACATTCAATTATTGTATGACATATTATTAATTAGCTATCATCAAAAGTTAAAAAACATTCCGAATATTGTAAATAAAGTATAATTTGTTGTGTTGCATTTCATAAACAATATGACAATACACAGGTAATTGATGATGATATTATACAGTAATCGTCATCACCTATTTACCATTCACCTTTTTATCCTTCATTTAACTGATTAATTAAATTTTATCTACATCAGCCTTCTGTAACTTGACAGTGGGAGATCCTTTGGATAATTTGATATGAATACACATATATAGAAAATAATTTAACTACATGGCATTACTAATGCATTCGTTTTTTGTTTTGGAGTAATTTTTGAGGCTGATACGCTTCTATTAGAAATGCAATGAAAGCTATCTTAAATGATAGTATTCACAGATTGAACTTTAAGGTAACATTACAACGAAGCATTATCAAAAATAAAAGATTCTGTCGATAATTTTTACTCAGTTAATTCATCCAAGACTTCAATTTTCCAAGCGAATATTTTTAAAAGTTAATTTTGCAAAATACATTCCCTTGCCAAGTATTTTTTTTAAAGGATGCAATTCATTGAGTAATCTTGTGATTGTTTAACACAGCCGCGGAACCTTAAATTTGTTCGAAAAACTACATCTCTGCTAGCTGTGCGCATATTTTTCATTTGTTTTAATATACATGCAAACACATTCACAAAGTATCGTAAATTTTTTTATGCAGATAATTTTAGCATATTGCATGACATGCATTTGAAATTCAACCCCTCACACTATCTCAATC